GTTGCCAGATCTGTTTCGAGAATTATTTATTGAATTGAACGTGGTGGTACTTCATTAATGAAGGAATACGATTAAAACGATTTAAAACAGAGATTGATGAAAATTGGAATGAAAAATTTAGTATATATTTAACTATTAATTTAATAGATTAATATTAATTTAAAAGTATTAGAAAAAATTGATTGAAATATAATTTTATGAATAATATAGTTAGATACAATGTTGTTTTATTTACAAATATAAATTCACAGTCTGAATGGATTACCTTTATCCCGGAAACTTGATTTTATGAAAAATTGGACTTATTAAAAAAATAGTTCTACAAATTATTGTTCTACATATTGTTTAAAATAAAGAAGCACATTATTGCAAATTATTTCTTGCAAATCAAGAAGTTCCGAAATTGCGAAGTCAAATTTATTTTCTTACGCATATTTTGGAAACGAATCGCTTGAAAAAGACTATAGAAAAGTGGCCAAGATCTCAAATATAAAATTTTTAAAACTAGCTTTGGCTAGATCTCAAATATAAAATTTTTAAAACTAGCTTTGGCTAGTTTTTAAAATATTAGAAAATTAAAAAATTAAATTCTGCGTACTATAATATAAACATTACTAATGTATAGACTAATGTAATGTTAAAAATTCGAGAAAACCTGACATTTCGTCGTCTAATCCTAATGATCACAGTTTAATAGAATAGCGAAAAAAGTTGTACAGCAATATAAAGAATAATTATAAAATTGGAATAATTATAAAATTCAAAAGATTTGCGGTTCATTCGAATCGTTCCAAAGTTCGTATTGAATTCTTTGTTCGCCTCGCCTGCCGATCATCGTTCTTTGTCATAAGACTGTAATCTTATCTCTTCTAGCGATCCTCGGCGTTTTGTTATATTTATACTTTTCTTATTACGTAGATTCTATATACATAATATCGAATTTCTTTACAAGTTTTAAGATATTGAAAAAAAAACGTAATTTAAATTTTCTATGGTAGATTTCCAGTCATTAAAAAAATTCTTGATATTGAAAAACGTTTGAAATTTCGAGAATAGAAATTTCTTCAATATCTTACCTGCTGCATAATATAAAAATATCTTCAAAAAAACAAATGGTTCAGAGTGATTGATGCAAAAGCTTAACATTAAAAAGAATTTAAGAAAAAAGTAAAGTGTAAACATGATTCATTTTACGAAGTTATGGTAAGACTTGTATTTTTAATTATTCTAAAAATTTGTCCAAATTACCCGTGTGAGAGTATTTGACATTTCGGAGTTGATCGGAGTTGATCGGAATCTGATCGGATAATTTTCATCGAGCTCGAGAGAATACCTGAGCGAATAATCTAAGCAACGAACAATCATGCAGTCATCTATTTTGCTAGTTTCATCATTTCATAGATAGGATCGATTGATGGAACAAAAATGTGGCAATGTTCAATTTTTAGATTTAGCAACTATGATTCCGTCAGGAAATCCTAAACTGACCATTTAACTCGCTTTCCATTTGTTATTCTGCACGATAACAATCGTGACGAAAACAATTGGAAAAAGAATGAGAATGAGCCGTACTCAATGAAAATATATCATTTTGAATTTCAGAATCATTTTGAATGCAAGATCATTGTGTTTGCTTGACTCCAATAGATATCCGTATTGTTTTAACATGAAATGCAATCTATTTAATAAACGGTTCGTTCTGAAAAAAATTTCTCTATATTAAATGACTGAAATGAAATTCAAATTATTGAACTTTAATTTTTATGCTCCATAAGAAAATCGACAAAAATATTAGAGATCCATCACTTTCACTTTGAAATGTAAATGAATTTGAAAAAAATTCTTTCCATTTTCGTTAATGACCCACACAGATGGTTGATGCGACTTTAAATAATGAAAATAAACAAAAAAAAAAAAGAATAATGCAACTTTATTCAGAACATTTTCTTCTTTCAAAAACAAAAATATAGCAGATATATTTTCACTGAAAAGCCGTATCCAGTATAAAATTTGAAGTATTTCAAGACACATCGATTTTTTTTCGACAA